ATAACTTGATGAACAGAAGGATGAAGGGCTCTGCCAAGGCCCTGCGCCAAGAGTCCCTGGAGTCTCCTCCACGAAGAGGCCGTGAGGGCGATGATGTCAGACAATCCGCATGTTCAGCCACTTGTCCCTTCCTCCTGCGCGTGCTGCACGCCATGCCGCGGCTGAGTGGCGGGCGCGTGCTGCACGCCATGCCGCGGCTGAGTGGCGGGCGCGTGCTGCATCCCTACCCCTTTGAAGAACAGGACGAAGAAGAGCTCGGGATGGTGAGTGCGACGGCACTGGCGGCTGGGCGAGCTTCCCCTGCTCTGTCAGGCTTGCGGAACATCAAGGTCCCAGAGCTGCTCCTGGTCATCAAGCTGGCGGCGTCGGCCACGGCTGGCACAGTGCGATAGAGTTGCCCACGAAGTGATGAGGAAGGCGGCTGCCAGACGATCAAAATGAGCGCAAGAAGGTCCTGCGCGCTTCGCAGCTGAAGAGAGTAGCTCGGCCACTTTTTCCAGGGAATGCAGGAGTTGCCTGTGTTGGTCAGGCGAAGTTAAAGGAAGCTTCCAGTAAACGAGGTGTCACAAGGCCTGATCAGAAGCGCAAGCCTGCAAAACAAATTCATAGTCAATTCATGGTTGAGGCAAGGGGTTACTCAATTTGAAAACAAAAAAAAATCAACAAATAAAAAAAAAAAGAAAGTTGAATTGGTCTAATCAAGACTTGATTCTCACCTGCACTTGAATATATTCTTCTCTCCCTTCAAGTTCACTCACAGCCACCAAGTGAAAGAGTTGCTGCAGTTCAACAACTCACAGCATCTGACAGCTCCCCAAAGGGATACCTGTAATACCAAAGTATCAACATCAGTTACCAACCATGAAGAGGTGAGAGGGCCAGGATAAAGAAAGACAGCAGTAACAACTACACACCTGTGATGTCAACTGTTGATTCAGTCCATCCTCAAAAGGTCACCAGCAGCACAGTAGTTAATGTGCCAAACCAACCCGTGTCCAAATGCCACACATTCTTCGTAGTAAACAAAGTGTTCTCACGACTTGTGACAGCAGTCGAGATAAACCTTTCACATGAGGAGTTCTATTCAGGCCACACCTAAACAAGCAATAGAACGATATATTAAAGAAAAAACCCAGGGGGTCAAGGTAACCACAGTACAACAATTAACAAGAATCTGCATGAAAACTTGCCTGGTAGCCGTTTCAGATGGATTTTTCTCACATTCTCAATAGAGACAGTCAGCGCAGTGGAATTTGGGATTACAATGAGAGCCTATGGTCTGCGGCTGGAAACCCACAACTGAAGAACTGCCCCAATGTTTTGAAGGAACCTGGCTGCAATGGACTTGGCATTAGGATTGTGAGCAAATCAGAGTTTTAAAGACTATTTAGTCACGGGAAAACGAACACTCACCTACAGACCATCACTAGACTTGTTCCTGAACCAGACAACCTACTCTCAGTGATAGGAATGAACCATTTAGGCAGTCGTACAAACAAACTGATGTTGGATTCAATCTACAGACTTGACCACATTCCATGCTTGGCATCACTCAGGGGAGGGTCTTCAAAATAGTTGTGGTCTTCCTCAATCACTGCCAAGAGCCATTGCCTGCAAATGAAACCAACTTGAGTTACTGACATGAAGCCATACATCCGAGATACTAATTGCATTCCATTCATTTCACAGGAGAGATTGTCCCAATTTTAAGCCTCACCTCTGTTCAGGATTGCCATTGTCTAGAGCCAGATCAAGAGCGTGACTATCATTCCCAACAAAACATGGGAACATACTCGGCACTTGTTCACAGACAAATAGATTATACCCATTCATAGATCAGAGGAAGGACTCCTACCAGGGAGGCGCTCTGATGGCCATTGTCCCTATAGGTTCACAGCCTCAGGGAAGGAAATTGCATTATTCCCTGGAAAAAGACAAAACCTCATGAGTACACTACAGTCGATAATTGACACACGGGTAACTGTCTCAACACAATTCTGTACTCACTGAGCGCTTCCTCACTCTGTTCATCGAATTATCCCCTTACATCCATGCCTTTGGACATAGAGAGCCACGAGCCACGAGCCCTGAAACAAAAGACAAAATATTACATCTGGACACATTCCCACACATACACATTCATATCCTAGAGGAAGGATTCCTACCAAGGCAGCTCTCTGATGGCCCTCGGCCCTCCTCAGGAAGGACATCGCATTACTCACTGAAAAAAAAACAACCAAACCTCATCAGCACACTACAGGCAATACATTACAACACGGGAAACTTTCTCAGCACCATTCTACACTTACTGAGCGCTTCATCCTTCTGTTTATCAAGTTATCCTATTCCATGCTTGGGCCATACACAGAGAGCCACGAGCCACGGAGCCATAACACAAACAGACAAAATGTTTCATCTTGACACATTCCCACTCATATCCAAGAGGAAGGCTTCCTACCAGGGCAGCTCTCTGATGGCCCTTGTCCCTCTTCAGAAAAGACATCGCATTACTCCCTAGAAAAAAATTACCTCATCAGTACACTGCAGTCAATAAATTACGACACGGGAAACTTTCTCAGCACCATTCTGTACTTACTGAGCGCTTCCTCGTTCTGTCCATCAAATTATCCTACTCCATACCTTGGGCCCTAGAGAGCCTCCACCAGCCCTAAAACAAAAGACAAATTAATACATTTAGACGCATTTCCACACATTCCCATTCACAGATCAGAGGAAAGGTTCCTACCAGGAGGCTCTCTACTGGGCCCTCCAAGACTCCATGGCATTCTCTATTGGATGTTGCTAGCCAGAGGAGGGCCCCCACACGCCCTGAAGTCAGACAGAATGTGTTAGTTAAGAGCACTGCACGGGTATTTTAACACCTCGGTCCTAAAAATCAGGAGGGATACTTACGACAGGGCCCTCCAAGGATGCCTCTCTCTCCCCGAGTTCCCAAGTACAGCCTCGGGGAGAGACTTTCCATCTCCTCCTGCATTGATCTGCAACGCTAGGAAAACAGTTTCATCAGACAGACAGCAAATGTAACAGGAAAATAGAGGCGGCCTTCAGCTCCGAGCAGTAGCAGCAGAGGTTAGGCCGCATTGCAGTGCTTCACTGTAAGGTTAGGATGCCCATACGCTGCCCGACGATCCGTGCGGATAATTACCCGAGGGCAATGCGAGAGGGCACTACAAGAGGTAGGTGTTTTGCGTGGGCGATTGGAAGGCCTTGAATCGAACAAAAAAAACACCTCTCAAAAAGCATGGCTCCGTGCTCGAAAACCACGTTGCGTGCGTCAACTACACAGCAGACGGTTGCTCGGACCCAAAGGAGAAAACGTCAAACGGAGAACAGCGGATCGGTACTCACTTGCGCATTATTCTTTAGGCCTTCTGAAGTGCACGAATCTTCCTCATCCTCAGATGGAGATGGGGTGGTTGTGAATGAATCACGGATCATTACGACGACGATAAATAAATAAGCTTGCCACTTCTTCTTCTTCGCGCCTCGATGGCTTTGGTTACGCCAAGCCAAACGTCACATACGGCTAGCGACTACAGAGGCTCAGGGCAGGCCTGGGCCCGACGCAGGTGACCGCGCAATTTCTCATACCGCGCCCGACAGACGAGCTCGGTGCTCGGCGGCCCCGCCGAACCCCGAGCGACAACTCGGCTCCGCCCCTCGGCTCGGCGGGCCGGAAACGGAGCCGAGCGCGGCAAGAAAAGTTATTTGAATAACTCGTAGTTATTGTAATAACTTACTGGAGTTACAGAAACTAAAAGTTATTGCAACAACTTGTTGTTGCAGTAGCCCCGAGAGCCATTAGAGTTGAAAAATGA